TAGGTCTCTGGAGATGTGCCTGTGGGCCATACAAGGTTAGTTTTTTCGGTTTTATTGTTTGATGTTTTTGTATGTAAAACAGGGAAGGGAGAGGGGAGAAAAACAAGGGATTTGGTTAGTAGTAGGTAGGAAGTCGGGCGTCCGGTTTTTTCAGGAGTAAGGGATGTGAACAAATGAATGGAAATCGTGTGGGATCGGGCGTGAGGGAAAGTCTTTTTTTTGGGGGTTTATGAAAGAGGAGGTGGATGATCGGAGGGATGTCAGGAGCGACCGGTGGAAGAGAAGGGGAGTTTGTGCAAACAAAGGAATGGGTATCTTCGCAAGGTGTTTTATCAAGGGAATTTGCGGACAGGCGAGATCGCGGAACGGGAGGAGGGCAACAATAGGAAAACCTTTACGGGAGGAGGAAGAAGAAAGGTAAGTCAATGGGAAGGGAGGTAGAGAGATGAGCGTTCTGATGAGGAGAGCGGGAAAGTGGATCCGGAAAATGGGGAAGAAGACTCCGACCACGGTGGGGAGTTGGGGCGAATCGGGAGTGGAAGGGAGAAGGAGGAACGACCCTAGCGCAGGTATGTACCCACCAGATCGAGGAAAGGGGAGAACGTATGGAGAAGGAGAAGGGGAACGGTGGTGAAAGACGTTCTTCGCAATGAATGGATAGGTTCAAACGATATCAGTCGGAGGTCAAGGAGGGGAATCGAATGAAGGAACGAGTACGTCAAGGTCGAGTTGATCCTGTCAAAGGTCGGTGAGCGAAGGCGTGGAGAATCGGAGGGTGCCTGTTCGCTGATTCGAGTTTGAAAGAGCAGGATTTGGGAAAGAGAAAAAGCGAGAGGAATGAATTAGAAAAGGAAAATAGGAAATAGGGAGAGAGGAGGAAAAAAACGCACGGAGAGATGAAAGGTTTTTTTAGCACGTCTCGAAAGACAGGTCGGGGTGTACCATATGGTGGGAGAGTAAGGGGATGAGTGTGGGGAATGTGTCCGAGGGGACGTAGTTTGTGAGTAGGTAGGATATGCGCAATGTCCAGTATTTAAGGGTAAGCACAGTAGGTGATCGTATCCCGAGTTCAAGTTTGTGTGGGCGGTGGTGGAGCCTCCTGATGAGTCACTGAGTATGCTGGTGATGAAACGCGTAGGGGCGTTGAGCATACATTGGTCCTGCTATGGTGGGAGTGTGTACTGAAATTTCGATTGGACTTGGGTGAACCAGTTTTGTGATCCTCTGGTGTTTTTGCTCCCTTTTCTCTCTTCAAACGTGGTAACCGGTGGTGGAAGACATGACACGGTGGCTACGAAGTTTTCGTAAGTTCTTGGCGTAATCTTCTGAACTGACGCGACGAAGTACAACTGAGAGTAGGGAGGGCGTGATCGTCTCTTCCTACCTGATGCCCCTGGGAGCAGGGTAGCTATGGTAAAGATCCGAGGGTGGAGGTTCACGAAGTTGTTTGTGCGAGTGGCGCTTGCGTTCTTCGTAGGGGTCGGCGGTTTATCTACTGTGCTGGTAATGTGGGGGAAGACGTGTTGTAGGAGTTGGTGTTTCGATTTGCGCATATCCGTTACTTTTGTGAGGGGATGAACGGGCGGAATTTTAGAGACGAGGAATTTGATAGGCTGTGGCAGGATATTGAGAATCTAGTATAGATTAGTACCTATGATCTTTGTGGAGGTGGAGTTGTCGGGCGATAATACCAAAGAAGAATTGACGGGTGCTTTGGAGAGGTTTCTGGGTAGGTTGTATAGTGTAGGCTGTATAGTAAGGGATAGGAGGAGGAGGAGGAGGAGGCAGGTGAGGAGACGAAGGAGCATCTCGGAGTGATGCAGAATCCTGCGGTACCGATGATTCAGGGAATGGGGAATGGGTTCCCTATGATGGGAACCAATCAGCAAGGAGGAGTGTCTTGTTATTTGTGTGGGAAAACGGGACATTATGCGCGGAATTGTTGGGCGGGTGGGAACGGCCGACCACCACCAGCGCAGCCAACAGTCGCGTCCGCAATAGGAGACGAGGAGACTCGGGAATTTCGAGAGTACTTACGTGAGAAGATTAAGAAAAAGAAATTAGAAGAGGAGAGGAGGGAGAGAGAAGAGGAGGAGAGAAGGAGGAGGGAGGAGGAAAACAGGAAGGAGCAGGAGAGATTGAGGGAGGCGAAAGTGAGAGAAGCGAAGCTTGAGGCAAGGCTGGTGAAGCTTCTCGCTCAACACAATAAGGTAGGGGTGCAGGGTAGCTCTTCGATTTCGAAGAAAAAATCGCTGCGGACAAAGGCAAGAGTACTAAGGGAGATAACGAGCTACCTCGAGGAATCTGAAGATGATAGCGAGGAGGTTAGGGAGGAAGCTGGAAGATTAGTAGCGGCCATCGAGAGGAGGAAGGGGAAGAAGAGGGTGACCGATGATGAAGCGAGAGTCTCTAAGATCAGGTGTGTGAAGAAGGGAATGAGGGAGGATCCGGTGAAGATTGAAGAAGAAGAAGAGGAGGTTCGTACACCTCCACGAGACCAGAATGGTGAAGAAGAACAAGAGATTCTCGATTTCGCCATCGAATTGCATCGGTATCTCTCCGAGAAGAAAGTCCCGGAGCTTCAGAAGCTGTGTAACCGGGAAGGAATAGAGTGGTCGAAGAGGGATACCGCCATCGGCGAGCTGGTAAAGTGCAAGGCCAAATTGGCATACGGCGAATTCGCGGAGAAAGGTAAAGTTGCTCATTTGTTCGAGAGCTAAATCGAGAGTATGGAAGAACAAAAGATGATGATGGAAAGTCGTCCGGGGATTAATAGTGTCAGTAGAGGAAAATTGAGTGCTGAGTATGAGGACCGTGTGTTTCGGTGCTTTCTGTTGTGCGTAATCAGCGGGTTCTGCCCGTGGGCGAGGAAATGGGTGGGTCTGGTAAGCTGTTCCGAAAACGATTTGTCTACTGCGAACCCGGGTGTGTACGCTTTGATCAGTCCATGGTGCCGCCATTTTTATATTGGTTGCACCAAAAAAGCGGTCATTTCCTGATGGTCCGATCACGTGGGCAAAGTAGTGAGTGGTGATGTGGGGACTGCACCCAAGTTGCATGCGTGGCTCCGAGTTTTCGGGTGGAAAAGGTATCTTGCCATACCGTTGGTTGACGGAATTGATGATTTGATGAGGGTAGAAGCAAGTCTAATTAAGAGGTTCTCTCCGGCATTGAATGTTCAGGGAAGAGGTCCCGAAGTGAAACGGAAGAAGAGGAGGAAGGGAAAGAGGGAGAGGGGAAGGAGAAAGTTCAACGCATTAGGAGGAGTATTGTTGAAGTTTAATGATCAAGTGTCTCTCATTGAAGTGGTGAAGGAGATGGAGGGGAAAGGGGGTGACCGATGGATCACATCAACTGGGGGGGATATGTGGATAAACAGATGGAGGGTGGTGAGGAGGAAGATAGAAGAAACGACATTATGGGTGGACGGGAAAGAAGCTCCTATCAAAGCGTGCAAATCTTTACTGGAGGAGGGGGGAACGTATCAGGTAGGAAAGGTAGCGATCATGCCCTCAGGCATTGAGCATAGGAAGTTCGTGCTCAGAGATGTACTTCGACAGCCATGGAAGGTGAGAGGGCTGTATAAGAAACGGGCGCAGGAGTTGATAGCATTGTTCAGGACCGGATCACGGTTCGGTCACAGGAAGACTCGGAACCGGATCAAGAACGTGGTCAATCGGGTTGTGAGAAGGAAGTTCGGTGCAGAAATAAGGAGGCGACCATGTGTGAAGGTTCCGTTCTCTCCTGAGCTAAAAATGGGGGAAATAAGGGAGGTGGCAGGAGAGATGATTCGGGGAGGAGGATTGGATGTGCACGTTGCCGGTTTCGTTGCAGGACGGGTGAGAGTGGTTACGACAAAGAAGGCCTCGGTCGGGATGCTTCTACATAATCCGTGGAAATATGCGGAGATGGAGGAAGTTTTTTGTTCCTGTGAAGGCATGCATCTGCCCAGGTATGATGACCACGTTCGAGTGAGGCTTGATGACATAAGTGAGTTGCCTCGATTTATTTGGAACTCGCGGAATGTTACGAAGGGTGATGCCATGTCCCCCGCGAAGCTGGAAAAATGTATCTGGGAAGGGGTGAGAGAGTGGGTCATAGAGAATCCAGGTGTCACAACGAGGATGGCTGGGTGTTACAAGCAAGGGAGAGAATCGAGATCTGAAGCGATGTCAGCAACCGAGGTGCGCAGAGTGTTTTCTTGTTACAGCCGGCTCGTTGCAGTACCGATAGACCGAAATCCGGGCACGACTTTGCTGATCTGCCCGGTTGCCTATCATTAGGCATGTAAGGAGACGTTTATGAGGAATCCAAACTTCTGTGTAGTACCTAAGTCTGAAGACGAAGTACTCAAAGGGATGAAGAGAGATTATGAGCAGATGGGGCTGACAAAGGTTGCAAGGTGGCAATCCGGAGGGAAGATCGGCCTGGCGTATGTTATACCGAAGGACAAGGATTTGCAACGATGGAGACCGATTTCTCCGAGCACATCGGATCCCTCCAGGCTTGCAGCATCTCGAGTCGGTCGAGCCATTCGGTATATGCTGTTTGGTGTGTCGAGGAAATAACACTTTGATTTGAAATCAATGGATGAAGTGGCGAAACGAAGTAAGACCATTGAGAGGGAGTTGGGCGATTCGGCGAATGGCGCGATGGCACGGAGCTATGACGTTAAGGATATGTTTGCACGTTTGTCGCACGAAAGTGTGGAGGAGGCGGTGGAATGGGTTGTGAGGTATCATCAGCATAAGGGGTACGGGTGAGCTGCCGAGGGAAGATTTGCACGATGGTCAAGAGAGTTAGGAGGGAAGAAGGGTTCGTGACCTTGACCTTCGAAGAGATCCGAAGAGAAGTGGGGTTTGAACTTTTCTCATTCGTTCGTCCGTTGTACGGGGAGTATACTCAGACAGGAGATGGGAATCCCAATGGGGAGGAATTTGAGCCCGGCTCTTGCATGCTTAGTGTGTGCTCGGGCGGAATCAAGGTACATAGGGATGACGCGGGAAGAATGGGTGGCGGTGAGGGGAATGAGGATGATAGACGATGTAACAGTAATTGCAGCTTTCTCACAGGGTGACAAAGGTTCGATTATGAGAGCAGAAGAGGTTTTGAACCGGTTCGAGGAATGCTATGATCGGAACCTCAAGTTGATTCGGAAAGATGAAGGTGGCCATGCAATCGATTTCTAGGCGCACGAATGGTGGTGGAGATTGATCCAGTTCGGATCCACGTGTTCCCACGGACAAGAAATCAGCGGTCCCTTTCTGAAGATGGGAAGTTGAGGGTGCAGTCGATCCAGGACTATGCATCGTTTACAAAGAAGAACGCGAAGAAGGCGACGCTGTATGCGAATCTTGTAAGGATGAGGAGGCTATCTACCTTTGATGATGCTTTGAAAGCCGCCATAACTGCTCTTATGTTCGAGACGCGCCTCCGGGGGTACCCCCCGGAGGTCTCTCTCGGGGCCCTAGCTAAATTTGCTAGGATTTCCGAGGGTCCGTCGGGAGTTTATCTCCCTAACGAGTACCCCGGGATGAAGAATCTATGAGCAAAAAGGTTTTTTTTGTCTCGGGTGGGAAGGTTCCAGGTGGGTGCAGGTAAGATCGAGTAAATCGTTTTGGTTAACCGTCGCCCGAGGTTTTTCATGTAGGAATTTTTTTTTTTGGGCTTATTTCCATTTTCGGAGGAACGAAAAAAACTCCGGTTAAGTAGGTCTCTGGAGATGTGCCTGTGGGCCATACAAGGTTAGTTTTTTCGGTTTTATTGTTTGATGTTTTTGTATGTAAAACAGGGAAGGGAGAGGG